GCAACGGCATACACGCAGCACCCGAACAAGCTTATTTGCCAAAGCGTTCACTTGAGCACCTCCTACAACGTTATGCATCTGCATTCACTGATAAAGTACCTTGGGTTCATTATTGACGAACATGGCCGCCGTCCATACCCGGAGAACATTGAAGCGATCAAACGTATGCCAGCGCCCACAGACGTGGCGTCCCTCAGGTCTTTCCTCGGTCTCGTCAGTCACTACAGTTCGTTGCTGCCTGCCCACTAAATCAGCTACTTACCAAGGACCACAAGTGGACATGGTCAGAAGAATGTCAACGCGCCTTTGACTCTGTTAAATCCATGCTAAGTTCCGATTTGCTACTCACACACCACGATCCATCGATGGAAATTGGTGTGGCGTCGGATGCCTCGAACTATGGAATTGGCGCAGTGATTTCACACGTATTTCCAGATAGCAGCCAGAAAGCCATTGCACATGCGGCCAGATCTCTGACTTCAGCCGAGCGCAACTACAGTCAGATAGAAAAGGAAGCCTTGGCGATCGTGTTTGCCGTTGAGGAGTTTCATAAAATGCTCTACGGCAGTCAGTTTACTCTACTGACCGATCACAAGCCACTCCTTGCTGTGTTTGGCTCGAAGAAAGTAATTCCGGCATATACTGCCAACCGACTCCGGCGATGGACCACTCTGCTTCTGGGGCACGACTTCAAGATAAAATACCAGTCCACTACCAGCCTGGAACAAGCCGACGCACTGTCCCGACTCATTGATTCAAGCAGGCCAGAACCAGAAGATACCGTGATCGAAACAATTGCCTTGGAACCAGAGGTTAATCACGTAGTTTCCGAAGCTGTTCGCATCCTCCCAGTGACTGCCGACATGGTCCACCAGACTACCGATCAAGACCCTGTGCTGCAGCAAGTCATGAAGTACCATCGCAATCAGGGCCGCGTACCTGCCAAAAAGACGAACTGAGGCCTTACTTCAACCGCCGCGACGCACTATCACTAGCCGATAAATGCCTGTTGTTTTCAGAACGTGTAGTCACCCCGAAGAATTTACAACTAGTCGTCCTGAATCAGTTCCATAAAGGCACCCGGGAACAAACAGGATGAAGGCCCTTGCTCGGAGTTATGTCTACTGGCC